TCAGTGAGTCAGTTGGATGCCTTCATTATAATCAGTCAATCAGTTGGAGAATAAGCTCGACTGATGACTGACTGACTGACTGATTTACCAGCCTGCTCACAATGGTGTCCGACGTGAGTGCTCCAGATACAAGGTTGGTGTCCTTTTGTCTTTCTTAGGTGCTCATCGGATGTTAATCCTCGCGCAGGGACCGGCAGCTATACATCGCGTTCGCGGTGAGATATTTGGCTACTCTAATCAGCCCTTACGCCGCCTCCGCAGCCCTGGATCATTCACTATGGCTTCCCACGCTGCTAGCAATGTTGTGTCTTCTGGGCTCGCTACTCGTGACTGTGGTAATGCAAGAACCATTGACCCTCCTCGGGCGAGGTCAAAACAGTTCAGTCGCAATGAATGGCACAGGAAAAGTAACAACAAGCATATTGAAACCATTCTCTGCCAGGTGGCCGGTACTGTTATGCATCTACATCAATTTCTGTTTGCAATTCCGTATGCTCATTCAAACCATCTTGTTGTCGTATATTTCGATCCGCTTTAAATGGACTATCAGCCAAGTAATGCAATCTGCTTCGTGGCCGACTAAGTCGAGATCTGAAATTAACTAGATTAATGCAGGTAGCCAAGTTAATGACAATTCAGCCCGCCGTCAATCTGGTCCTATTTCTCACCATACCAGCAATGTTGAACGCAACAAGTCATGACTCAAGCGAGCAGAAGCGTGGCTTCAAATTCTTCCGTGTCCTATTACTAATGCTACTCTTTAGCGATTCTATCCTTGCTACAACTCCTAACATCTTACTGATCACTATTGGCGAGTGAAATCCGGCTGGCATAGACCAGATTTGGTAACTAATTGAATTCCAGGACTCGCGATATCTGCCTTTGGAGACGGCGTTCGAGCTCCATTACTTGTGATCGCTGCATCATACATCGATCCGTACACAGAAACGGCACGGCTCTATACTTGGTTTGCGTTCACGGATGCACTATCCCATACCCTTGGAGATCTATTTTTGCAAGCCATCTGGCGACTAGGACTACATTTACAAGGTCAATGGCTTGTTTTGCCAATTTTGGTGACCATGGTAATACCTTTCTCCCTCCCTAGTCAAATAGTGCTCATTTCATTGCCACGCTAACTTACTCACTTCTAGCTGTTCATCGTTCTTAGCTATGGAATGTCGACTGTATTACCAAAGGTTTCAGAAGACACAGCAACTTCCCAGAACGATCGGACCCAGGCCTCCTAATCGCTGTTGCTAGTCAATGAGGAAGATACTGCCACGCAGGATCTCAGTTTGCATGATACAGAGGACTAGACAACCAATGGCTTGCTGGTTCTGTCTTCTGCTAGTAACTAGCGACCAGAGCTCTTGTAGTACCCTACTAGTTGCGGTACATATAGATATGTCAAGAATGCGTGATCGTTACGCTCTTGCAATCTCAATTCAAACAAGACATTGCAATATCACTAGAGATCCTGACTGCTGTAATGGTCCGTACCTCTCATTCGTTCCATGAGAGATACAAGCAACTTGTTCCCATCTCCGTCACGCGCCTCAAATGAAACAAAATCCGAGCGCCCCAAATATTCTGATGATTAGCCTATTCGTAACATCACAATCTAATTTTTTGTCAAGCAAAATAATTGCCAGGAGTGAGCCTTTGCATCTATCTCTACATAACGGTTGATATTTTTAAAGTAGTGCCGCTGAAAGCGCACCCAAAAGGAATGGTTGGAGTATCACTTAATTGCGTCATTTCCTGGGTGCAAATGCATAGCGCTGTTGAGAAGTCGATCAGAGATAACACCCTTGTGAAGTCTAGGTGCTTTGATTCGCTAGCGGAGGGAAATGTTGTGCAGAACAGATCGCCGAAGTGCATAAATGCAGTCCGCTTGCCACTTTGCCATCCACAAGACCCCATACGCAATAGTATATTAGACATGAATTTACCTGCGTTCCTGCCAACCATCATTCAGACTGCTTGGATTGTAACATGGCTGCTCCCCAGGCGATTCCTCAGGACTGCATGTCTGCAGAAGAAATGTTTGACTCGATCGGACCCGCATACGAAGAAGGGTTAGGGTTAATGTGACAAAGGAAAGTTGTTAGGTTCACTGTCGTGAAGTCAAGTCTGCTTCCGACGAATTGCAACGAGACGGGGACAGGAAATGAAGAATATATACGATCCTGGTGCATAAATTAATGAAATATATTAATAGTAGAGGAAGGAAAGTAGGTAATCCAAAGTTGAAGTGCGACGAATAAAAGAACAGGATGAATAAGAAACTTGATCCTGCTTGACGGGACACCTGATTGCACTGTTAAGTGTCAATCGGCCTTCAGACCATTGAGCAAACTAACGAGCACCAAATTAGGTGGTAGGTGGGAGAATTTTATTGCACATCTTAGTTCTGCAACTAATAGCCAATGTATTAAGAAGCAAACGAGAAAGAGGGTTTGTTTGTTTGTTTTCAACTTGACAAGCGAAATATGTTGCACATCCAGATTTTTTGCTTAACATATATAATGAAGACTGATTCATGAGAGCATAGCGAGACTTTTTGTATCATTTCTGCATTTTGGAAAGCACAGATCTTGTTGAGATGGTAAGCAAAAGTATGTTTGTTGCGTATACGTTTCCACCGATTGGCAAAGCACTAGGCTTTGAAATTCAAACATCACCAACCTAATCATGTCCTGAAGGCTTAATATTAGCTTCATTTATAGAGGTCAGTCAAAGATATTTCCATTGCCCATTTACGAATAGCTTCGTCTTAGCTTTGTTGAGACAGATAAGTCTGTACATCTCCGATTACCTTTAAATTCACCTATACGTTCACGTGCTTTTCGATAATCGATAACTAAGAGTAAACAAGCGCGCTCTCGCTAGATATTTTCCTTTTTTTCTTCTATATAAACTTCGCTCGACGACGCGTTTTTTCTTTCGCAAACAACTCCGCCACCGCAACTTCAAAGTAAGTTACCCGGAGCTGTCAACCACAAGCCTTGCTCCACAGGACTAACTTATTAGATTGACAGACAATGGAGGGCATACCCGACATGTATCGATCTGAAGTTGCGAATGACTTTCCCGATCTGTCCCGAAGTCGAACAACAACCTCTCAACTTCAGAGTCCGGAAAGATCATACTCGCTGTATCCAGAAGAAGTCACCAGTGTCTCGAACTACATTTACCCTGTTCAAGTCGCGTCTCAGCTACCAGACGTTGAGCCGAGTAGCGTGGAAGAATTCACCAGTGCCTCGCACTACATTTACCCTTTCCAAGTCGCGTCTCAGCTACCAGATGTTGAGCCGAGCAGCGTGGTAAGTTACTCAAGGACTTTGTGGCCAGAACAATGTTCTAACTCCTCATAGCCATCCGATACACAGCTCTATGTTCCCAATACACAGAGTTTACACCAACAAGAAGGTGATGACAATGTCCCTCCACGACCAGACGCCAGGAAAACTTTTTCTAGCGGATGGACTACCACCCAACACCATTATCTGTTCGTCAAAGTGGAGGAGCTCCTCAATACTCATAGACACGCGCTACGCCGCGTCGATTTCCAGGAAATTGCCTATGCCTTCAATGAACATTTCAAAGGCTCCGTCACCCCGAAAGGTACCCCGTTATTCTCTGGACGCATAACTTCACAAATGAACACCTTTGCTCCAAAGCATTGGAACGCCATCAACAGCTACGTCACCAAACAACATGTTACAGAGTATGTTCGATTGTGCAAGCAGTACTTGGGCGACGGCTGGGTTAAGAAGAAGCATGCAGTTCCAAGGCCCAGGAAATCCAGGCGTCGGGAGGTGAAGAGTCGACAACAGGATGGTGGAATCGAGGACGCCAGGGGTGTTGCGGCCGGCGGCATTGATGAATACTTTGAGACGGAGTTGGAAAGGGAGAAGGAGGAGATGGAGAAGGAGGAGATGGAGAAGGAGGAGATGGAGAAGGAGGAGATGGAGAAGGAGGAGATGGAGAAGGAGGAGATGGAGA